AACGTAAACATAAATAAGAAGAAAATAATAAAGTACAACCCTGAACTTTGGCTTTTGGGATTAATTTTGATTCACTCTACAGCCTGGGTATTTTTTGGAATCAGTAGCCTATGATTTTTATTTATTTATTTTTTTATGCATGTTGAAGCAAATCTTGATTTATTGTTATTTACTGAGGGATTTGCATTCATATTGACCAGAATGTCCAGCTAATCATCATTTTAAATTCAATATAGCCTATAAATCAATAGTCAATCAATGTCAAATTGCCAATACATTGGTTTCTATCTTGCATAATTAGTGCAGTTGTTTAGAGTTTTTAACTACACTGAGACTAGATAATCAGTGTCTTTATAATGTGTACTTTGATTGGGAGTGGCATCATTCACGTATTGTACAGTATTTCTGGTCTCCACATTTCTGCTTGAAAAATGCGAGTTTCATTTCGTGCACGCGCATATGAACGCAACACACGCGACGCGGTTATGTTTTCCGAGCTGTAGTAAACAAACACTGTTGTTGCACTTTGTCGTTTATAAAAAAAAACCGTAATAAATAATGGTATTTTACTCTCACTTTTGTCAGGCAAAAAGTGATGCAAGAGATGCACTGCCTACCCAGATAGGTTAGCAAGACCAAAAACCTTCAAACTTTGCTGACATCAAACTAGAGAGGAGAGAACACAAGTTTACCTGACTGCTGTTCCCGCAATTCACTCTCATGTTTTTCTTCTTCCTCTTTTCGTGACGAGAAGGATAGTTTCGCTTCATTTTGTCATGGACTTCGTACACATTAATTAGCGCGCGACACGAGATGGAGGCGCGGCCTGAGTAATTTGCGGTGCCTTACCATACACACCGGTCGCGTGCAGTCTATGGTCGCGTGCGGCACTGCAGCCACGTAAACAGTTTGACTTTCCCTTTCAGTGCCCGAATGGAAGTGAATGAGGCTTTGCGATTTTTATATTATTTTTTTGTCTAGGCCTACGTGAAATTCTACATCCATTGTACGATTTTTTTTTTCCTCGGAAGGGCAACCTGAGTCGAGAAGGGCATATGGGCAGTTGCCCGGGCAACCTGAGCAACCCCCCTGTGCACGTCCCTGTATACACTTATGTTTAAAATGCATAACGAAGGTATTTCTAATTTCTATTTACGCTGTGACCAAACAGTTATTTCACTGTGACATGGGGGAGAACACACATACATAAAACCATTGAATACCTTTGTTAAATGTCTTTAAAACAAAAGAGATGTATTTCTCTTTATTCAGAGACATTCGTTCGGCCACATTCCATTGGTGTCATAGAAGTCTTGTAAGTTGTAACTCGATGCCACTGGGGTAAGTGAGTGAATGTGTGCGTACGTTTCGGGGGAGGGTTGAGTCGCCTGGCAAAGTCCTTTTACATTTTTCACATCCATTTTTATGACTAATAATATGATGGGTTGTTTGTAATACTAAATAAATAGACATTTTTGAAGTAAAAAAAATAGTTTTGAATGAGGTTTGCTTTTTGCAACATTTTATAATTTTATAAAAATGTGCACAAATAGAGAGACGTAGAGAGTTGTGTAAAAAATGGGTTGTTTCAAAAATTGTATAAGCCATTAAAGGGATACTTCACTTTGAAATTAATTTTTGATATGTTTTAGCTTACCTCAAGGGCATCCAAGATGTAGGATTTTCAATTTTGACATTTTTCAGTCAAACCGTTGTTGTCTGTCAGTCATATAATGCAGGTATGGGGGTCCACGTCAAAGAGCATGCACAGAGAAGTCAAAATAAAACATAATTTAATTACTCGTGAAAGTAAGTACACACTGATGGCCTAAGACACGAAACGAGCGGTTTGTGTGAGAAAACGAACAGTACTATTTATATAGTTTTTACCTCGTTAACATACATGTCGAACTGATCTGAATCAGATGTCCAACTGAACAGTGTCCAGCGTTACGCCGGAAGTGATCTCTCGCGCGTCTACGTCACGCATTGTTTATTTGTATATCTAAATGTTTAGTGAAAGGTAAAACTTCCAAAATCTCCATGTAAACAATGCGTGACGTAGACGCGCGAGAGATCGCTTCCGGCATAACGTTGGAGACGGTTCAGTTTGGTTCAGTTGGACATCTGATTCAGATCACTGTGACATGTCTTTTAACAAGAGGTAAAAACAATATAAATACTGTTCGTTTTCTCACACAAACCGCTCGTTTCGTGTCTTAGGCCATCAGTGTGTACTTACATTCGCGAGTCATTAAATTATGTTTAATTTTGACTTCTCTGTGCATGCTCTTTGGGGTGGACCCCCTAAATTATATGACTGACACACAACATCGGTTTGACCGAAAAATGTCAAAATTGAAAATACTGTGGAAACAAAGACACCTACATCTTAGATGCCCTTGAGGTAAGCAAAAACATATCAAAAATTAATTTCAAAGTGAACTATCCCTTTAAAGAGCATATTGCAGGTAAAAAAAAAAATCGAAATTTATAGATAACCTTGTTTGAAAATACCATATGAAAAGTTAATGCAGGATTTAAAATGTTTTAAAACAACATAAGGGCACTAATTTAGAAGATAAGGTGAGCGTTTCTTGGACTGCTAGTAAAAACGGCTTTTTTTTCAACATCGCGTCATTTGACGTCATATCAGGGAGCCGCAGCCTCGGCTCAGAGGAGAGCAGGCTGGTGTTCAGTGAGAGCGCTCGTCAGTCGGTGTGCTTTCGTTAGTTTTTGCATTTTAATTTATCATCGTCATGGTAAATTATTGTGTTTGTGGAGATTGCAAAAACTCCAACCTGTCAGGACTTCAAGATCGAGTCCACAAGTTTCCATTACAATAAAAGTGACGGTGCTATATATAGCCTATCTTTCGTTCCTGGTGCGGTTTGAGCAGGTGAAGAGACGGGATTTCTCTTCTGCATCGGCTCGGAAAACGCGGTCGTGCGTAGCATTCACTTCAGATCAAATGATTAGCATCCCGGCAATATGATGGAGTTCAACATGGTATGCCGAAGCAAGAATATTGATCGTCGTATACTACCAATATGGCATCAGATAGTGTTATATAGGTAACCCCAGCAAACACAGAACGTTCCCCTAACGTTCCCGTATGGTTCCCATTTGGTTATTTTTTGGGGAACCAAACAAGAACGTTTTAGGAACGTTCCCTGTATGTAATTTTTAGGTTCTATTTTTATAACCTAAACGGAACGTTCCCAGAACGTTCCCTGTAGGTTATTTTTAGGTGTAATTTTATAACCTATGGAGAACGTTCTGGGAATGTTCCCTGTGGGTTATTTTTAGGTTCTATTTTTATAACCTAAACGGAACATTCCCAGAACGTTCCCTGTAGGTTATTTTTAGGTGTAATTTTATAACCTATGGAGAACGTTCTGGGAATGTTCCCTGTAGGTTATTTTTAGGTTCTATTTTTATAACCTAAACGGAACGTTCCCAGAATGTTCCCTGTAGGTTATTTTTAGGTTTAATTTTATAACCTAAGGAGAACATTCCCAGAAAGTTCCCTGTAGGTTATTTTTAGGTTCTATTTTTATAACCTAAACGGAACGTTCTGGGAATGTTCCCTGTAGGTTATTTTTAGGTTTAATTTTATAACCCAAGGAGAACGTTCTGGGAATGTTCCCTGTAGGGTTTTTTTTTTTAGGTTCTTTTCAGCAGTGATCAAATGCTTAATTACATGTCCATTATCAGTGCTCATTGATTGGCAGTCTTTTTTATTAAATTAAATATTTGTGCAGCCTGTTTTGTTTTGAAAACAAGAACTATAATTAAGTAAACAGATTATTGCAAAGATCGCTTTCAAAACCTTTTTTTATTTAGCAGATTTCAAAAGTTATTACATTTGACATTGACAAAAATGTGTTTACTGTTTTTTTTTTTTTTTTTAAATAGTGTAAGACATAAAGGATGGTCATGCACAATGTTTTAATGTTGCCTGAACATTTTCCTTGGAGTTCCCCAACATTGTGATCAGTTTTTAGCAAATTGCCAGTTATTTAAATCAGGAGTTGAATCAGGGGGTCTATACCATGAAGCCGGTTTAGCTGGCTAGCCAGGTAAGTTTAAGTTTAGTTTGCACCAATCCTGGACCATTAAAGTGGCTTGGTTAGCTGGGTTCATTGCCATGCCTGCTCCAGGGCAGGTTATGTTCTGAGTTAGAGATTGCAAACTGAAATTGGACCAATCAGATGCGAGCAGATGAAAGAAGTGACATGTCTGACAAAAAAGTCACTTTGTTCATCTGTCATCATGGTACAGACCAAGTGCTCCTTTACCACTTTTATTTTCAAACAGAATTTACAAGTATATGTTAAAAACATATCACCTTCACAAAGGTTTATCCTCATGCACAGAATCACAATGTGCTTAATCACTATTTATTTACTTGATCATTTTACAGTGTTGAATCCATCACCTGATAACTGTAACACAAGTGGAACCAATTGTAAGACTGTACATAAAACAATATTATATAAATGTCCTTCTAGAATAAAATTACATGGGATGCCTTTTTTTTCAGAAAGTGCCCACAAGCCTGCTCTGCTCGAAACTTACAGTTGAAGGAAGTTATAAAGAGTGTTTTTTACATTGGAATACTTGATCACTGGCCGGATCTGCCCTTATGTTGTTGAAGTTTGGTTTTTTAATAAATTCATAATGAATATTAATAAAGAAAGGCTACACTGTTTAAATATCTGAGATGTGTGGTTTATATAAACTTCAAAGGTAAATTATAAATTAAAATGATTGTGATCGATGTGAAGGGGAGGAGAATTGACACGAGCGTCACGTTTAGTCAATAAAACAGCTCCGCATAGGATACACCTGTGTATCCTCACTCATGCCTCCTCTGGAAGTCTCCTCACTCCTCGATCCTCGACTCCTCACGGTGGAATTAGAGAATTGAGATGTCCTTAAAGATGGCTGAGCTCGATCGGTTTACGGGTCATAGGAGGGAGGAGCGAGGAGACGAGGAGGGATATTGAGAAGCGTCCATGGAGTTTTACTTTTAAAATACAAAAAAATTAAATAAATAAAAAAGTCAGAACTTTACTGTTAGACAGAGAAGCAATACACAAAAATGATGCTGTACAATTAATGAAAATAATACAGTTATAATATGGGGTACTTAAATTCCATTCAACTTCTGTTCTTGTTATGAAACACAATTCACTTCAGTTCAGGAAGATGTTGAAGAAAAAAAGATTTCCAATTCTTTCCAGTCCATCGAAAAATGGACGAAATCGATGCCTTGTTCAGTTAAAAAAACAGACCCAGATACTGTGTAACAGGTCGCCTTTGCAGGAACAGTTGAAACAAAGATGACGTCACAGTCAGAATTGGCCTGCCATCATTACTTGCAGATCCTCTCCTCGCGCACCACAGAAGAGTTACTGTATAAATTTTGTGGAGCCATTGAAGAGAATGATGGTTTCCTAATGGACATCTCACTAGAAAAGAAGATGGAAAAACAGGTATGATGTTTACAGACTTATACATTAAAATGATAAACCATTTTTTTCATGAACTAATCTTCAGGTAAAATTAAGGCAAGCTACTTTACACAACAGGGCAAACATGAGTTTTTGGGTGCTTTTAAACTACTAAATTCTTGATTTTATTATTGTTATTGATGACTTAAAAGTGACAATTCACAAAATGTCAAAAATAACTTTGTTTGATCTTATGGATTATTTCAAGCATGTAGTAAAATTGAACTAAGTTAATCTTAAACTACTCATATGATTGTTCACATTTTGTAAATAATGAATTGTTTCTTAATACTCTGTTTACTTTCATCCTATATCAGAGAACGGATCAATATTTAGGTAGTGTTGAAATAGAAGTACAATAAAAAGCATATTTCTCAGAATTTCTCCAAGATTACTTGAGCCCCTTTCACACAGAGATTCCGGAAAATACACTGATAATGTGACCCGGTATTTGTCCCGGGATAGTTTGATTTCAGTTCATTCACACTGCCAGTGATTTGCCGGGATCTGTGAGTGCGTTGACACACAACCCGTAAAGATCCCGGAAAGACACATGACATCAGGATGAGACGAGTAACTTATGCGTCGAAAACATTTACACGCGCATACTGTTCCACAAAGTTCCGCATGCACACTAGATTACAGGATATTTTAACTAATTTGCGGTAAAACTAGTCGATCACGAGTGGCTCAACAGGTAGATCTATAGATAAACTCATCTTTCAGGTATTCAACCGACCAGGTTGACCCATCAACATGAGAAATCGGGGGTGTGGCGTGAGAGAGTGAGAATTGGGTCAATAGGGGTTATGCACAATATTGTTCAAGGTTGTAAAAAACAGGTATAACTACTTCCGGCCATCAGCTGCTGATGTACAGTGTAATTGTGTTATATTGTGTAATTTTCATATCATCCTATCATCAGCCTGTGAGGTGGGGCTTACTTTTTTGATTATTAACTTTCTTTTTTATTACTTTATCTTATTTATGATATTCTTTTTCTATTTTGCTTGCAAAGGTGGAGTGTTTATTAATAGGCTAAATCAGGTTATTTACCTGTATAATGAGGTAAAAAAGATCTTCCTAATTGTTTTTGTATCCGACTCTGTATTTCAATATGTCAGCGGGAAATTTACTGACACACATTATCCTCTCATGCCGTTACAGATGCAGCTTTTGACTGTACTTCTGCACTAGATAAATGAGAATACGTTTTAATAATTTAGCGGGTCAAGAAAGAGTCGGAGTTTGTGATATATGTCCTTCTACCGATCGCATCAAAGCACGGAGACAGCGCTCATAAAGATAATAAACGATATTCGCTTAAATACTGATACAGGCAAATTATCCGTGTTGGTACTACTCGACCTCAGTGCTGCATTTGACACTGTCGATCATGACATACTTCTTGACAGGCTGGAAAACTGGGTGGGGCTTTCTGGAATAGTCCTAAAATGGTTCATGTCATACTTAGAAGGGAGAGGTTATTTTGTGAGTATAGGAGAACATAAGTCTGAGTGGACATCCATGAACTGCGGAGTCCCTCAGGGCTCGATTCTTGCGCCACTCCTATTCAACCTGTATATGCTCCCAATGAGGAAAATAATGAGAAAGAACCAAATCGCTTACCATAGCTATGCAGACGACACACAGTAGCCTATATAAGTAGCCTATAATTGAAATTTACATTTATTTGTATAAATCGTACATATTGTTTCAAAGCAGCTTTACAGAAAGTGCATGTTTCTAAATTACAATTTAGTGTGATCTGTTATCAGAGGTGACAATGCAATGCATTTCAATTAATTTTCATTCAGTTTCATTGTTAAACAATGCATTAAGATAAGGCAGAAACAATGAGCTCATTGAAGTAAAGAATACATGTTGTTAAATGATTAGGATACATACATACTGTAGAAAACTTTAGCATTGGTGCTTTTTTACATACTCAAAATATGAGTGTGAAAGTCAACAAACTGGAAAAAAAAAAATGTAGGTAATATTATATTGTTAAAACTAATTACATAAAATTGGTATCGAAAAAACTATCATTCAGGAACCGGTATCGAAGTTAAGGTATCGGTATTGAACATTTTGTTACGATACCCAGGCCTATTATTATTATTATTATTATTAAATATACGTTCTTTGAAACAGCAACATATATGTATGGAAGTGAAAAACCGGAAATGCTTAGACCCGTTTTCCGGTTCGAACGCTGGATGCGTGAGAATTGGCAGCCCTGCAACAATATTTGTACGACATTTATACACCAAGTTCGTTTGTAATAAAAAAAGTGTGTGCGTTTGTGTGCCTGTAATATTGAGAGAGGAAAAACTCAACTGCAAATCTAAAATCCAATCACTGTGTGCACCAGTGGAGCTTTGCTGGTAACCAATAGGGAAAGCCTGTTACTGCGCCCAAACAAAATCTTACTGAAAGACGGTATTTTTTGAGATATCAACCTCACATTTGGAACACAACTTATATTTACGGCTTTCTTAGATTATCTAGCCATTTTAGAGTTATACTTGTTTTATGAAATATATATTTTATATAAAATAATGTTCATAAATAAATGTACATTAACTTTATAACTTTTTTAAATGAGGCACAAGGGTTAAATAAATAATTAACAAATATATTTTTGTGTTTTTATTCTGTCTCTCAATGTTGTTGGTCTAAATACAGCCTCAAGAAGCTAGCTCAAGAAGACCACACAAGAACTTGAAATCAACGCTTACCTCTCAACCATCGCTCACGTGCACCTGGTTGCTAAATTATATTTAACAAAGTGGGACTCTCAAACCTAAAGGAAAAAGAAGAAAAGAAAACAACTTATATTTTGGTGACACCATTGCTTTGAATAAAGTATAGTAAAACAAAAATACTGCAGTATTTAACAAATCCCATTTTTTTAGACGTTTAATGCCAAGGTAACGCGGCCTGTCATTATAAAAGTACATACATTTTTTAAAAAATAAAGAAAAAAATAATAATAATAAATTATTAATCTCGTGCCAAGCCCGCGAAACCGGGCAGCGCTGGTCTATAAGCTAGTGTCTGTGCCCACCGCGCGCACAACCTGTCTACCCTTTGAGTGACATCCCAGCAGTGCGTTTTCCTGAGGTAAAGTACTTTTTAGTTAACCAATTTAGTTATATTACTTCTTTAAAGTATGGTCTGACAACAAAAGTAAATGACATTTAAAACTATGAAGAAAGAAAGTAAAGACATTTAATTATAATAACGTTAATTATAATAGCAAACGGTCTGAGGGAAGAGTTCGTTTTTCTCCACAAAAATAACAGCAGTTTTCTCTCATGAAACTCATTAAATTATTATAAAATTTTGACTTTTACAGTAAATGTACCACATCTCACACAAACAACGTTTCTTCGCGAAAAGAACCAACAAAAGTCGCACACAACAAAGTTCAAATTCTGACAGCAATCACGTCCTCGGGCTCCCTTCGCTCAAAATCAGTGTCTCTCTATCCTTGAATGTAGTTTCCCTGTCAATTAATATGCGGTATCTCCATACGCCTATCACTAAAAAAACAAACAGGTGTTTGTAATTAACACTTGACCCACTTACGCTAACGTTAACTTACACCTGTCTCCCGATCATCTCTCCCGTCAGACTTGCTAGATCACGCCCACCGAAAGGTAACGTTAAGTGTTCTTTTAAACCAACTTTTAAACAGCAGCTAGCCTAACAACTCAATGCTATCTCAAGGCAAGGTCAACAAGGTGTAGCTAAACCATCTCTTCGCGACAGCGAGCAAGTTAGCGTTAGCTCGTTTACAGCGCCGGCCCGAGCCTTTTGGGGGCCCTAAGCAGAATTTGATTTGGGGGCCCCTCCCACGACGCGGAGTCACCTGTGTTTGACGATTATTGACATAAATGTCACGCAAAAATGATACATTATAAATGAATACACTGAGGTTATGTATTAATAAAAAAATAGATGCCTACTTAAATAAAAAAGTTTGAAAACAGTCTTAAAACTGTCTCAAAACATATACAATAAATTATTTGCTAAAATTATGACAAAACTGAGAAATTAGAAACGTAAGAGCAATGATACTTTGGCCTATCCTCCTGGGACCCAGGAATAGACTTTTGTCCACTGTAGTGGACATTATATTTTATTGTATTTCTATGACACCATGCATGTCACATTTTTTTTTCTGGATGTCCTGTAAAGAGCACATTCAGGGCAATACAGAGATACCAAATGTTTGGAGGTTTCACCATGAAAACAACTTCTCCTTGGTCTTTAAAAATGTCTAACATTAATTTAGTGATCAAATGTAGCACTCTTATTGAAATATGGTAATATATTGTAATTATAATTTAAATCTAACTACTTTTCAAATTGTATTTCATCAACCAACATCTCATGAAAATGTTATGGGGTTTCAAATGAAAAAAATGACTTTCCGTTACAGGGCATTGATTTCATTCATGTCCACTGTAGAGAACATCAGGACATAAATCATGTTTATCAGGCATTCTGGGAGACATAACAAGTGAATATGTAAATAAATTATACGTCAATATTCTTATGACATATTAGACATTATTATTAAAATGTTGCTTATTATTACGCCAATGCTTACACTTCTTTCCTCATTAAATGTTGCTCCAAGAACACATTAATGTGCAAATTAGATACAGTGTATAGATACTTTGCATTGAATGGGAATATTAATTTATGCCAATTTGACCCATATATTGCATAAAGTAAATTGGTGTATCAATTAATTCCATTATATCTTTCATAACATAGTTGATAATCATCTTTATACAAATTTTAGTTCAAAAAAATCCTGAAACCCCAAAATGTATTGGTGATTGGAAAAAAAATCCCATTGTTTTTGCCTACACATTGTATGTCATTTAATTTTAACAACTGAGTCCTGGTGTCCACTACAGAGGACAAAGTATTACATATGAATAAAATATAATTTTTCAAAAAGGTTTTTTTTTTTTTTTTACCATTTGTTTATTATGCTCTAAACAATGATGATGACATGAAAAAAAAATCTAAAAAAAAAAAAAAACTTTCTGGGTCTCAGCTATTGTTGAAAACTAAAAATATTACTAGCCTATTTCTCAACTGTCTCAATACAGAGTAACTATCCTCAAAATCTTTATTATTGTTATTATTATTATTGTAACAGACTTTGTTATATAGTACATGACATAATCAACACAGTCTGTTACTATAATACCGGTTATGATGTTCTGGCGCTCGTTGTATGTGTGTATGCAATGTATTTTTCCCCTCGGGGCTTGCCGTAGATGGGTCGTGCGCACTTGCTAGGCTACTGGAGTGTCGCGGGTGTTTGGAGATCTGATGTGTGGTATAATAAAGTGGAGAAGAGTTCAAACTGCTATGTTTATTATTTATTCAAACTGCTACCCTTACACCTTGAAGGATAAGTTCTCCTGCGGGCTATTTTCTCCAACTTAAACCGATACCGTGACTAGGCGCAGTTGCGCACGAATTGTCTATGCACGCGCGAGGTGTCTAGAAGATTATGCGTATGACTTAAACGCTGGCAGACAGAGCAGCAGTTGTAACTTGTAGGCAGGTATATTGACCATTAAATCAGAATTTTGTTGTCTTGAACTATTCATTCAGTCATATTCATTCATTCATTGATTTATGTCACTTGTTTAAGTCATCTAAAAAAATAAAAATAAAAAATAACCTCGATTAGGGGGCCCCCTGGTGGCCAGGGGGCCCCAAGCAGCCGCTTAGTTCGCTTATGCCTCGGGCCGGCCCTGCTCGTTTACAATATTAGGCTATATTTGCATCCACTCACCATAGACGAGTGTTTGCAGTTGGTGTCCAGTCTGCCCTCTTGATGGCTGCAAGCCACTGATGGCACCTTTTTTCGTCCTGAGGTAGCCTGTAAAAGGATATTTTCGGGTCTCTTTTGTTGTTGCACCCCACCACACAGCATTTTGTAGGCATAACGTTAACTAGCTTGTTCCTTTGCGACTGACGTGAATCAGGTAACGGTTCTAACTCTTCTTTGTATTTTTTTAATGGCTCTTAGCAAACAACTTTTAATGCGCATTACCGCCACCTTCTGAAATGGAGTGTCGATCAAAATAGCCTACTTTACTTACCACTAATTAACTAAATAAATGCATAAAATCTAATAAAATTATTAATATTGATACATTATCATTCACACCATTAGCAATACAATTTTAATAACAAAATAAACTTTTATCCTTCTAATTATCCCTTTTTTTAAATAAATATTTTTTAATTAAAAATCATTAATATAATTTCCTTCATTTCAACTCGATTTTTGTCTTTACTTAGCCTAACTTTCAGAATCATTCTTTCCTGCTTATACCTACAAAAATGAATAATTAGGCCTACATGTTCAAATGTTTAATTTCTGTTACATCGCTCACACAACCCAGTTTCATGTTTTCCTATTATTTTAAGTTTAATTTATTTTTTTTAATTCATTTAATCCAGTATGCCTAAATATCATTCTCGAAATAATGTCCTCTTCCTTTTTATCTATTTTATTTTGTCTCATTCCTCCTACCTTCTACTGGACATTGTAGAACATTCTCGCCTTTGTTTCCATACCACTCCTCCTTCTTTTTCATTTCTGCTTTTATTATGCCTTCAACTTACTATAATTTACTGCAATATCCAAATCAGGTACTCAAGATGGCGGCAGACAAGTTTTAGAAGTGAGTGACGTCAGTGAGGAGACGTTGGTGACATCATCTGATATTCATCGATATAAAGTCCGCTCATCTGTGCCGATCAACACCGTTAAATGTCGTTACATCGGTGTGACGTCATTGCTTATGGAGCCAATGCGCTCTGTTTGAGAGACACTCTTTCGTTTAAGACTAAGTTATCTGTCATGATAACATTCCTTAAAAAGAGATAAATTCTACGCTTCATAAATTAATAAGATATGATAAGATAAAATTATGCTTCATAATATCTTTAATTTGTATGGAATTATTGTGTTGTCACTGATTTAAATGCGAGCGCGTGAGCTCCCTCTCACACTCTATTATTCTCAAGAATGAAAATGCATTATCTATTCATCAGAGCCTTTATAAACTTTGAAAATGTATACCATGAAAATAATTATTCTCTTCTCTCTCTTTTTTTCTCAGTGTTGATTGCCATCTTATTGTTGTAAGTATTAGAAGTCAACCTACATCTCTGATTTGCCAGATTCATCATAACATGCTAATTGATTAATAGATCAATTAAAGCAACTTAATGTGGCAAGTTATAAACTTAATGAAGACATTAAAAGGATAATTCTTTACAGATAAATAAATAGAATGGAATTGGCTTTATGCACAGCTGCATACTTCCTGAACTTCAGCCAGCTCCTTTGTTTCCTGTCTGCCATTATTGTACAGACACACCTGGATTAATCAGGTTTGTTCAAGTTTGTTCAATAATGGCAGACAGGAAACAAAAGAGCTGACTGAAGTTCAGGAAGTGCAGCTGTGCATAAAGCCAATTCTACATATCTGATTTGCCAGTTTGATCATAACATGTTAATTAATCAATAATCACTGATGGAGTTAAACACATTTGAATTTATACAGACATATTTTATTCATATTTGGTCTTTTCTCTCATTTGCTTGTCAACAGCATCTACATACACCCCAAAGGCTCTTTTAAGAGCCACATCCCGAGAGCGTCTTTGGCTTTGTGAGTATATATTTTGACTGACTATCAGAATTTGGGTTTAGATCAATCAGAAGCAAAATCATGCAGCATGTTAGTAATGTCTTAATAAAGACATTAAAGGGACAATTCTTTAAAAAAAAAGCAAAAAAAAAAAAAGAATAAATGATTAAATAAATAACAAATATACTGGAATTCTACATATCTGATTTGCCAGTTTGATCATAACATGTTAATTAATCAATAATCACTGACGGAGCTGAACTCATTTGAATTTGTACAGACATATTTTACTCATATTTGGTCTTTTCTCTCATTTGCTTGTCAACAGCATCTACATACACCCCAAAGGCTCTTTTAAGAGCCACATCCCGAGAGCGTCTTTGGCTTTGTGAGTATATATTTTGACTGACTATCAGAATTTGGGTTTAGATCAATTTAGAAGCAAAATCATGCAGCATGTTAGTAATTTCTTAATAAAGACATTAAAGGGGCAATTCTTAAAAAATACAAATAATAAAAAAAAAGAATAAATGATTAAATAAATAACAAATAGACTGGAATTCTACATATCTGATTTGCCAGTTTGATCATAACATGTTAATTAATCAATAATCACTGATGGAGTTAAACACATTTGAATTTGTACAGACATATTTTATTCATATTTGGTCTTTTCTCTCATTTGCTTGTCAACAGCAGCTACATACACCCCAAAGGCTCTTTTAAGAGCCACATCCCGAGAGCGTCTTTGGCTTTGTGAGTATATATTTTGACTGACTATCAGAATTTGGGTTTAGATCAATCAGAAGCAAAATCATGCAGCATGTTAGTAATGTCTTAATGAAGAAATTAAAGGGACAATTTAAAAAAAAATACAAATAAAAAAAAAAAATCTCTGATTTGCCAGTTTCATCATAACATGTTTAATCCATAATCACTGCTGAACACTTTTGAATTTGTACAGACATTTTACTCATATTTGGTCTTTCTGAATAACTGCGCATTCTCATAATTTTAGTTTAGATGTAGCTTTGATATTCATGATAGCATAATTTGCAGCATGCATACAACATTTGTAATGTTAAGTACTTTAATGTTTATGAGTACTATATCTTTTTTTATGTAATAGTTTTTGCATCATCTTCCACTGTCTCCCCACCTCCTTCACATTTTTTGTCTTGCCACAATTAGGGTAAGTAATATTCTTTATTTCTTTATCTTCATGTTAAGGTGCTCTCCGTAATGTTTGTTTAAATAAACATGCATTGATATATTTAAGAAAACTTTTTTATTTTTTGTTAATATAATTAAAATTCATATAAATTTATACATGTGTGTGTATGTGTGTGTGTGTGTGTGTATATATATATATATATATATATATATATATATATTTATATATAATAAACATCGTACTACACACACACACACACACACACACACACAAGATACTTGAGGCAATCATCACCAGTATAAAAAAAGATAAATTTGCAATTTGCTGTTTTGCCATTGTTCTTTTCATCTCAGTAAATGAATGGTCGAGGAAACGCCCTTGATATCTCCACCAGATTATCTGTTATACAATGTC